CCCGGCCGGCCATAAACGATTTATTGATTCCCCCCCCCCCCCCACCCCCCCCCACCGAGCGGCAATCGTTATTTGTGTTTCGCTCTCGCCTGTTTTGTGCTAACGAGGGCTTTAAATCATCAGCAGTGATAGCCATCATACAAAGGGATTTGATGGGGAAATGAATGGAGGCAGCTGTTCCTTCCCTTCTCTCTGCAGGAAAGGGAGAGCAGCTTTTGCTGGATGATGCTGGGCTGAAAGGGCAGGTGGATGTCTCACTGGCCATCGTGGGTTTGAAGATGGGTCACCAGCACTCCAAATGCAAAGAAAGTAGACATGTAAGCTGCGGAAAAATATGGTTCGGATATTTCGTTATTTCGGGATCGAGATCCGAAATTCAATTCGAATTTTCGTTAGTTTCGGATGAGTTTACGAATACCACAGAAAACTGTATATGTCTCCCAGACCCGAATATGGATCTGAAGTTCTGAATTGCATTTGGGAGCTACCGGATGCCATTCGGGTCTGGGTCAGCTTTAGTAATATATGACTATGGCTCCCAGACCCGAATGGCATTCGGGATCCAAATTTCCGAACTGCATTCGGGAGCTACCGGATGCCATTCGGGTCTGGGAACCTCAGCTTTAGTAATATATGACTATGGCTCCCAGACCCGAATGGCATTCGGGATCCAAATTTCCGAACTGCATTCGGGAGCTACCGGATGCCATTCGGGTCTGGGAGCCATATTCATATATTACTAAAACTGACCCAGACCCGAATGGCATCCGGTAGCTCCCGAATGCAGTTTGGAAATTCGGATCCCGAATGCCATTTGGGCCTGGGAGCCATATTCATATATTATTAAAGCTGAGGTTCCCAGACCCGAATGGCATTTGGGAGCTCCCAACTGCAATTCGGAAATTCGGGTTCCTGAATGCCGTTCGGGTCTGGGAGCCTCAGCTTTAGTATGATATGTATATACTGTATATGGCTCCCATGTTGCCGTAACGAAAATTTGTGTTCAGACCCATTCGGATGCATTAAACCGAAAAACACATCTGATTGACCAGAAAAGTCACATGTCTGATTCAGTTTAGTTTTTGAATGAAATTTGGATGGGATCCGAAAATCCGGAGACGGAAATTTGGATTCGGACACATTTGGATGCATTGGGATTCGGAAATACTGATGTGTCCGAATTTCAAAAAATACATCCAAATTCTGATTGGGAACGAAACTAATCGCTCATGTCTAAAAGAAAGTTTTGTTGATTGCAAAACCGCCACATAGGTCGGAATTGCCAACGTTTCAGGACCACACAAGGTCCCTACAGTTACTGTGTCAATGTGAGGAAGGGACCCTGCGTGATTCTGAAACGTTGGCAATTCTGACCTATGTGACGTTTTTGCAATCAACAATACTTTCTTTGCAGTTGGAGTGCTGGTGGCCTACAAACCACGATGATCAGTGAGACATCTACCTGCCCTTCAACAAATTGCATGCTGCCAAGCGCCATTACAGCCCAGCATCAGCAAAAGCTGCAATCAACAATGCTTTCTTTGCATATGGAGTGCTGGTGATCTATCTTCAAATCTCTGAGGTTTTGCACGGCACCATCCATGGTGGTCACTTCAAGTGCCCATCCTGTTCACATTGATCTCAACGCTGTATGGTGTACAGCAGACATCTTCAACATCACAGGTCATCGTGACACATTTGCTTGTCTGTGAGCACAGCAGTGATGGAAGGAGCAAAATTGGGTTGGTTGGTGATCCTGGCACCACACCTTTTCTTAACTTTATAGAGTCTGTGATTTTGGTTATGTCTTGAGAGATGCAATCCTATATCTTTAAACGTTTCAATCAAGTGCTTTACAGATGTTATTCATCCACTGGGCTGTAGACTTGGGCTAAAGCAACCTCGTCCACTGCTAATTACTGATGTGTGCAGAATACTCCTATTCAAAGTTCATGAAGTGTTTAAAAAGCACAAAAGCTATCTTTCTACTGTAATATTTCTTATTTAGGGCATTCATCTAAAAATGAGCACTGTATTATGCATACCTACTGTATATGTAATATTGCTTGATTAAAAAATAAAAATAAATGTGTGTGTATGTATGTGTAATATATATATATATATATATATA